TAATTTTTTTACCCACAGACAAGGGAACTGGTAAGTACTAAGGTGAATGCAGAATGCAAAATGGAGCTATCAGGCCTAATTTCCAGCTTTTCACACAATATAATTACTGTTCTTAGTTTCTACGTAAGCAAGTCCTTAAGTCATACTGAGATTGCCAGAAATTCCTTAATAAAAATTTACATATAAGATGCTGAAGGAATTATTTACTTTATTGTGTGTTATAAACTGAATTGTGCGCCCCCCCCATCTTGAAGCCTTAATCTCCAATGTGACTGTATTTGGAGACGGACTTCTAAGGAGGTAATTAAGGTTAAGTGAGGTCACAAGGACAGAGCTTTAATCCAACAGGACTGATGTCCTTAGAAGGGGCAGAGACACCAGAGATCGCTCTCCACACACGTGCACAGAGAAGCCACCTGAGGACACAGAGAGAACAGCCATCTGCAGCCCAAAGAGAGAGCTCTCACCAGAAGCCACCCCAGCTGGCACCCTGACCTTGCTTCCAGACACTCAGCCTCCGGAGCTGTGAGAACATGAATTTCTGTTTAAGCTACCCAGTCCGTGCCACTGTGTCGTGGCAGCCCAGGCTGACGAGGGCATCACGACAATGTGGTTTTTAACTCTTCTTTCATTCTGCCACTGGGAGAGCTTATAGATGCAACTGAATGTTGACAACCGAGCGAGCACACAAGGAGAGGTTACTGGCCATTCAAGCTAACAGAGGATGGAACTACCAAAATTTTAAAATGGATCTATTAAATTTAGGCTTCAAAGGTATGTTCTGTAAGTTATTTTGTATTGTAATCACCTAAAATCACCTACGACCAGTTGTTACCACCAGGTAGCTTTACCTCCCGTTCGCTAATTCAGAGGCACCTCCCCTCCCCACCCTCCGCCCAGTCCCCCTGCAGGCCTCTCCACTATTGAAGGTACATGCTGAAAAGCCGGCACACCCTTGTATGGTCACCTAGTGGAGAAGGAGACGATGAGGACAGTGACGGCGGGGAGGGTGGCCACAGGGTCAGTGAACACTTGTCCTGCACCAGGTGTCCAGCCGACTTTTATGCATTAACTTCTCTAGCCCTCACAACCACCATGGTATCACTGTCGCTCTGGCAAGGTTCAGCCAGGTTGAACAATGTGCTCTTGGTCACTGGAGTCAAACCCAAACACAAGGACCCCAGTGCCCATTGCCTGTGCCACAATACTCAAAACTGAGAAAGTTAAACTCAAGTTGCGTTACTAAACGACAACTTTTCTGAAAGAAAAACCATAAAAATTCCTAATAATGAATCTCAGGTGGATGTCTGACTTCTTAGTAAATTCAACCAGTACAAACTCGGGCAGCACCGGGGTCAGCTGGAATATTACCACTCACTCTCTCCCAAGGTTAGGCGAAAACGCACCATCTAAATGAGTAACTCAAATACTTCACACGATACAGCTAGGCTGGTTTTATTCCACCAGGAATTTCTCCCAACTTTTGAGGAGCATTTGGCCAACACCACCTTAGAAGGCAGTACAGCAGGGTGGCTGAAACACGGATGCTGAAGCCAGCGTGGTCTGGGTCAGAGTGTGGGCTCTGCCTAGCAGCACAGTCCTGGGCAAGTTAATCAACTATCTAATGCTACCAGAATTAGAAGCAGGAGGAACCCCCTGCATAACCACTGCCACATGGTCCCTGCAGGAAAGCTTCCAACCGTGGGAGCAGAGCACCCCAAACAGCCTTCAGCCCTGTGATGCTCCCCTCTGGTCCTTCACGTTCTCCAGCCCTGGGAGAACAGAATCTTTCTGTGAAGCGTCCAGTCCACTTCTGCTTTTAGTAGAATATGTTTCACAGTATAACAGTTCAAAGAAACTTCACAACCCCCACCCCCAAATCCAGGCTCTCACTCACAAATGCCATCTCGTCTCTCTCGGTACAATTTATGTGTTCATGTGCTGTGTATATGCTCTAGTCACTGCTGATATCGAAAACTGAGCAACAAGAAGAGCATGCCTAGAGACCAACGGAATTAGAGTTCACGCCAAAAGAGAAAAAGATAATGTGTAACAGAGGAGAAGGACTACCGTATTGCAGTAAAACCTGTGAGGATCCAGACGGGGCCTGCACTTTGTCTTCTTGCTGTCTGTTAACCATCACCAGCGAAGGCTACTAAGTACACTCACCTGGAAACAAGCCTGGGGGCCAGCAGGCCAATGATGACGCCCCACAGGACTCTCTGGAGCAGCCACTGGGTGCAGGAAACATTGGATGACACACTGTGAACCAAGCTAGACTTTCACACTGAAAACAAGGCAACTATGACCTGACCTGACGGCTCTTCTGAGTAGAGCACCCAGGTTACTTCTTTTGGTTGAAAAGTTGCACAACCACTTTCTAAAGACATATTGTTCCATAATTCAGAATTATCATTAACTTGATAGCTCCTGTCCCCTTCATTAGCGTTTTCCACCCAATTAGCTTTTTCCACCCCAAGTCAGGCCCTCAGTTCAGCCCTCACATCTGAACACATGTGAGATGTCCTGGTTTCCTCCGCCTCACTAGCCCCTTTCTGCAGCTCATCCCGCACAGCCCGGCTGCAGACGCAACTGCCCCAGGCACAAGTCCTTCCTCCACCTGCCTCTACGCGTGCACACTGACTCCAGGAGACGACCTCAAGTCCTCGAGCCTGGGACTAAGTTCCATGATGCACCTTTCCAAGCTCAACTTCTCCCACTTCCCGACAAGAACGTAAGCCTTCAGCCAGACCCACAACCACCCACTGGGCTTCCTGCTTCTACATCCTTGCTCACAACTTCTCCCGACCCGAGAATGTCTATCACATCCCCAGTGGCTGACACCTGCCCACCGTCCTCGCCAGCCCACACACCACCCGCCCCACTAAGCCATGGATTACTCTCTCTCCATGTGGCTCACGTGGCCTGCCCCGTGTAACTGGCACTTGGCACGTGCTATCTGGTGCCACAGAAAGAACATGACTTTGTGGGGAGCACCCTGAGGGCAGGCACTGCATCATTCTGAGAGGGACCCACTGTGGCTTCTCAAACAGAGCACGTGCTCAGCAACGATTTACTTAAGTCAACCACCAGCATCTGGCCAGTCCCTGGAGCCCAGTGCTCTGGGCACAGAGACTAACCCTTAGGACTGCACAAGGAGGAGGAACATGGGTTCTACTGAGCAACAAAATGAACTCAGGTGATCCGGAGCTGTTCTGGGTCAGTATATAACAAGGATTAGCTAATTCTGGATTGTGCTGAAATGTCTTCACCTTTCACGTGCTGAAACATCAGTAGGAAATTGAAAAAGGCAGCATATAAATGTCTCAAAACATTACCTAATTGATTCTTACATACAGCTGACAGTCAAAGCTTTCAAGGAGATGACAATTTTAAAAACACTTTTCTAATTATTCTATGCAATATTTTAAGGAATTGTTGGCTGCATGTCTCTTGCCCTAATTTTAAATATGACTTAAAAGGAGACTATATAAGTATATGTAAGGTTAAGGAATCAGTAGTGCAAATAGGAAAAAAAGTCTTCCGTTTTACTTAAGTACCATTGACACCACCACACTAACATTGTGTCTATCAGGAAAGGCACAGAAAGAACAAATTGGTTTATAGATGAAAAAACATGCCAATTATTTCATGACCAAATGTCAAACAGAAAGGCTGCCTGAATGGTTCAGAAGTCTATCACAACTACCACATTTGGTGTACATTTAATGGCACAGAAATCATTTATCATTTAAGGCCTTTTTATATGGGTCAAAGCTGCTGGAGCTTGCGGTTTTGTATCTTACAGTTTAAAGAATGCTCTAAATTCTAGGTTTTTTAACTTTCTAATCTTTGGGAAGAAAAACTAAAACTTCCTATACACTCAGATTAATGCCTGCTAATGCACAGAAAAAAGAAAAACTAAAACCTTACTCCTACTATAAAAACAAAATCGTGTGGCCTCTGTTTCTTTTCTGATAAGAGTCTTAAATACCAAACAGTTAACTGCATAATAACATTCACTGGCAGCCAGGCAGCCTGCTTAGCAGATACATAAAGCAGGTAAAAGGAGAAAAAGTTAATTTCTTGGCTGAATGATTCCATCGGTAGCTGCAGGGCGGACCTGAAAGTCTCTCAGTAAAGTAGCCGCTGATTCTTCTATCAATCTGTCGCACACATTCTCTTCCAAGGAAAGCATTAAATATGAAAATCATATCCCGTTATCATCTGTCCCCAGCTTTCGGCCCAGCAAGCTTTTCTTAATGAATGCTGCAGCCTAAGGGACAGCGCGCGCGGGCTCCTCGGAATAATGGAGTGACGCTGCCATTTTTGCTTATTACAGTATCGCCTGGCTGAGGGGGTTTCACACAGTCACAAGTGACTACTCTTGCCAGCATGCTCCAAGTTATTACAAGATGTTTTCAGACATTTCATCTAAAAGAGCTTTACTGCTTTTAGTGAAGAAAACATCTATGGTCTTGAACAGAATCATTTATATGGAGATGGGCGGAAGGATTAGAAGCTGGCATTACAGCAGACACAGCGGAATTTATTTAAGTATTTCTTGCCATTCTTTTTGTCTGTTGCTTGGATATGCAGTCCTCTCTTTCCACTTTATCTATGAGAAGGTTAAAATGTATGAAATTATGTATACGAAGAAAAGAAGCAAAATGCCACATTTTGTTTACTTCTCGCTTAAAACATTCTGGACCAAAGAAAAAAAGAGCTACAAAGAATTACTTTAGAAAACACAATTTCACCTACAACAACACTGAGATTTTCTTTGGAATCTATCTTACACCCACAGTGAATGCCTTACAGCAAATTTAATTGAACAAGATATTAAAACAATACTCTATAAACAAATGTCTTTAAATAATCAATTAAGGTTTAATCAAAAAGATCTTTGTAATAAAATGATTTTACTTAAAACAATATCTTAACACATGAACCCTCCAAAAATCCTCTGTTAACAGAAAGTTTATCATTTAATTTATTACCTTTTCTCTGTCTTCATCTTTCAGTTCATGTTTTCCCCCCAGGCTATCTTTTGAGAGTAGCTGCATCTTCTTAATTTGAGCCTCATACTCAATCTAGAGACAAGCAGAGTTTGATCTTGTGAAGGGTATTATTACAACTAGCACCTGTCTATGTTTTCAGTCTTTACCACATACTAGGAACGAAGCAGAAAGTAAAGGCTAATACTACTGAGAAAATTCAACTTACCTTAGAGAACGGTTTCACAAACAACACATTATGAATTCTGTAAGACGTTACATGTTTTAAATAAAACTTGATGGATTTTTTACTTAGTCTTTTATCAATTTAGGAAATAAAACCTTGATATATTAAGCTACCATGAAAATCCAGTTACTTTATTATGAAAGTAACACATTACACAGTGTTTTCTCGGAAAAGTTTTGTCCTTAAAAAAGGAAAAGAAAGCAATCCTACTGAATTCTTATCTGTATGATTTCTACATAATATTATGGTCCTATTAGTCACAGCAACAGAGTATATTATCCGCTAGATCATCAACTTAAAATAAATTCTGTTTTCCATGAATACAAACACACTGTAGACATCAGTGATCAGCACCATAGGAATCAAGTTTGCTCTGGTGCTAATAAGGACATAAAGATGTCTGCATCATTATCACACTAGAATTGATGAAAGTGATTCCATCATAGAATGACTTTTTCTTAAAAGGCATAAAAAGCACTTTGATTCATATGTTGGTAATTAAAGCCTTAAAAAGTCCCTGATTGTGGTCCATCACAGATAAGTATCAGAACATTTTCTAAATTAGGCAGTGATGCATTGCAATTAGAAACACTCCTCTGAGATAATCAAATTAGAAAATTGTTTTTTTAGCAATTTGTTTTCTGAGCCTTTGTTTTGGCATACAAAAAATGAACAGACAATAATAACCAAAATTGACTTGCCTCCCTCAAAATATCTTAAAAGGTATTACAGCTGCCCCATTTTTAATTACAGTTAAGCAGGGATTTCTTTTTTCTCTATTAGAATGCTATTAACACAACAGATAGCAGCACTGATATAAACAGATACCTAATTAAATAAGTTTCATAAGGCCAGTACAAAAGATGAAATAAGCCAAGAAAAGATAAAGAAATAAGGCAATTAAGAAACTACAATTTATATCTCTCTGTTCTATACCTACTCCTCTGAACTCAAGAGAGATTTAATTTTTAACCCAAGAGCTTTAAACAGGCATACTCTACAAATTCCAAGAGAAAGTATCTTTAAAAAGAGACAGGGGCAGATTACAAAATAAACAAAACAAACAGATTTATTACATAATAAACTTAAGCAAAAATGCTTTGTTCCTGTGGCTACAAAAGCTCTTTGAGATCAGCTGTAAACATGCACTGGGCATCACACCTGATCTCCTCATTCTGGGATCATTTGGTAATAGCTCCTAAAGACAGAGCACTTTCTCATGGAAATATAAGTATTAGTCCATTCATTTCACTGAAGCAAAAAAGTGGTGACTGCATTAGGGCTTCACAAAGAACAGTGAGGAAGTGTCTTCAAGAGTTCAATGTAGAGTGTTCTCCATGCATCTGAAAAATTTACTGAATTGTAAGTACTCCTCTAAATGAATAATGCAAATAAAAACTGTACGTTGTCTTTGAAATTGAAATAGTTACTGTGGTAAGTTGGTAACTGATACAAACTAACTCTGCATGATTGAGGCCCATGGATTTGCACTGTTTCGTCTTCTTTGCCTTTTATTTTTATACGCAGTACTTGGTTGTTATCCATCCAACCCACCTCCTAAACACTGGAGAGCAGGGGTTTTCAACTGTGCTCTGCAGAAGCCACAGGGCTCCCCAGTTCCAATTCCTCTTTTACCTGTAGTTAAGCAAAGGGTTCTGCTATGATTTGGGGGGCAGGGGGAGTTTATGTGGAAAACACTACATAGTTGAATCTCTCCAAGACCTGCTAGCTAAAGATGCCTAATGAAGCAGGAGAGCAGGTGTCTACCTGCACCTATTTCTCCAGCCATTAGTCTTTCACATTTTATTCCCTGTTTCTTCTCTGATCAGGTCCCATGTGCTGCTTCTGCCTCCACGAGACATCAGGCCTTGCACTGTATCCTTTCTCCCGGGCGCAGACTCGGGCCCTATTCCCTCATCATGTGGCCTGGATTCCCCATGGTCAGCTTGGCTGCTTCAGGGGCCAAACTACTCAGGCCCCAGAAGCATCTGCAGGCCCAGAGCCTCTCTAAGGACAATCCTTGCATCCAGCAACTCGCCTAGGAAAATCTGTTTTAATAAACCCAAGAGCACTGAATCAGCCCACGAAGAAGTGGCTCTGTGCTGTACTGCTTCGTGGCCCTGGGCTAGCTGCTGCCCCTAAATATAGGAGGCCTGTCCTGTTCACATCCTTACTCTGTACAGGCAATTCATTTCAGCTCAATTCATGAAATCTGTTGACGGTGATCTGGGGTCATAGGAGGAGGACGCGAAGGCTCTGGCAGATCTTTTATGTCTGGGATAGCTCCACACTCACGACTCATCCCGTTTTCCAATGTGTTCCTTCTGTTCTCCTTTATTCTTATTTACATTTCTTCAATTTCCCTTTGTCACATTACCACCTTCCTGAAAGCACCACCATTACCTTTTTTTCATATGCTTTCTGTTTTTGTTGGTCTTTGGGACTGTACAGTAATTCTCTGTTACAGAGCTGCACAGGGCTTTAAGATCAGCTGGCTTGGCCTCCTCATTTACAGGTGAAGAAAGGCTACACAGAGTTATGTAAATTGTCTGGTTTGATTCTCAGATGAATATGAGACATGGAGCTACAATTCACAGTCTTTGTGTTTTCTTCTATTTTTTTCCAGCATACAGGCTTCTTAGATGTTGAATTTTTACCAGCAGATATGGTGGGATATTTATTTATTCAACCAGTACACATTAACAGGCAAAACATTTGGTTGGTAAAATGGGATCTGCTCCAGACTTTGTCCTCCAGGAGCCTGAAGGTCATGTCTGCCCACAGTGGCTGTCACAACAATTAGGAGGAAGTGAGTAAGAGCTCAAAACATTTGCTCTCCTCAAATTTTACCCTCTACAGGCACATAGAACCTGATGACAGAATTTTCAGTAAGAACCACATCTTTAAATAATGACATTCTATCTACAGAACGCCTCTGCTATTAAACACAAATGCTTCTGGAGGAACACCATGGGGCACAGTCAGCATCACCTCCGTTCTCACTCAGCTGTCCATGGTCCATAAGAGAGGACAGAAACGGGGAAAACTTCAGTGAGTGCTTACTGGGTGCGCACTCCAGGACACGCTCTGGGCCAGACACGGAGCGTGCTGGGACGGCAGATGCGGAGCTGGCCGTGAGGTGGGCAGACAGACACGGAAACGAGGACGGCACCGAGGGAAGTGCCTAGCAAGCTCACTATGACACAGACGCCAGGCAGGAGGCAGGGACAGAGGCCTTCTAGCTGAAGGAGGGAGGAGATAATGCGGTGCTTTCAAGGGAATCCAAATCATTCAGCAAGTGTGTCAAAGAGAGCGAGAGTGTGCACGTGTGTGGGATATAAAGACGTTGCAGGTTGTGGCGGAAGCATGGGGGGATGTGGGGTGGGGGATGGGGGAATCGTGGGGAAAACGTGGGGGTGGAGGGGAACGTGGGGGAGGGAGAGAGGGGAAGAGATGGGGATGTGGAGGAGACAGGTGGGGAGATGGGGAGGGAGACAGGAATCGGGGAGCAAGCAGAGACAGGAGGGAGGGATGGGGGTGGTGGGCGAAGGTGGACGGGGACAGGCTGGGGAGAGGAAGCAGGAACAGCTGCGAGTCTGTGTGAGCGAGACAGAAGGACCGCATGTGTGTGCTGGTGTGCATGGTCAGAAGTTTTTGAAGCCGTGGGGTGGTGTGCGGGCAGAGGCCAGCATCTGGGCTCTGTCCCGAAAAGACCAGGCACTCGAGGATTTCAGGCATAGGAGAAGCGTAACCAGACAATGACCCTCCCGACCTGGGGACCCTGCCTGAGTGCCCAGCATGCCAGCCTCACACTGGCACATAACATGGAAGGCTAAGCAGCCGCTGGCGACCCTCCACACAGGACCCACGGCCCAGCGCCCTTATCTCTGTGCTCACGGCTCCTCAGGAGCTAGGAGGCCACCCTGCCTGTAGGAGCATGTGGTCAGTCAGCTCCCCCCCCCATCCTCAGTCAGGGATGCTCAGGCACCCTGTACGTCTGTCCCAGGTGCTCTGAACCACCTGCCAGGCGCCGATCAGTGGGGTCGACTTAACACTTCCTGTTCTGCCACCCATCCTCCGTTCC